TTAAGCATATCCGGGCTGGAGCGATAGCACAGCAGTTAGGGCATTGCCTTGCACGCAGCCAACATGGCCCACCTGAGTTCGATTCCTCTGCCCCTCTCGGAGAGCCCAGCAACCTACCGAGTGTATCTCACCGGAACGGCGAAGCCTGGCAAGCTACCCATGACATATTCAATATTCCAAACACAGTAACAGCGAGTCTCACAATGGAGACATTACTGGGCCCGCTTGAGCAAATCAATGAACAACAGGAGGACAATGACAGTGACAGTGATTCTGTATATCCGCACTCAATGCAGCAGTCAGTGAGATGCAAAATCATTGCCCTCGTGTCTGTTTTGAGGCACCATATACTTGATAGAAAGAGCATGGGAGTCTCCTCTGGGAAGAACTTAGAGAATGGAAAACCCCACAGACAAATTTCCTTTGCTTGCCTACTCTACTGAACTGCTCTCAGGAATTGTAATTCTGTAGAGACAGCATGGAGATTGTTTCTCACAACTATTGATGGTTCTGTTTTCTGCTCTTAAGCTGAAATCAGGTAGGCAATCACCACCAAGGATATGCTTCCAATCTTCCAAGTTTAACTTCCCTTACAACTGCACCTCTACTGTTCCCTTGAGGTATGTTAGCGCACACTTGCAGCCTGCTTTCTGAACAAAATAGCCAGGACTCCTTAACTCAACTCAAAAATCAGAGCTTGAGGCCAAGGCATATCCCGAGAGATTCAAAGTATTAACCCAACATATGAATCCTCAGTGGGTAGATTCTCACTATAAAACATCAGGAGAGATTTGTGTGTGTGTGTGTGTGTGTGTGTGTGTGTGTGTGTGTGTGCGTGCGTGTGTGTATGTAAAAAGAGAGTAAGCCAACAATTTGTTCTTTTGTTCTGTTTCTGTCTAAAGAAAGTCAATCCTATTAAAATCACAGTGGATGCTAAGGAGAAATCCCTAGGATGCTAAAAGTGTTTTCCTTTTGTTATGACTTCTTACAAAATTTGGCTCAGTGCCATGAGCACTGTGGAGCAGTACTGAATTTAAAACAACACAGGGGAGAATGTAGCACCCCAGGAGCTGCTGTTCCTTAAGGAATATGTAGCACAAATGTATGTGCTATGAAAGATGTAAAACAGTCTTGTGTTTTAAGAAAAAATAGGCATGGTGTGTGACTCTGGTCATTATATAGGCCAGTACTTTTTTTTTATATTGAAGTATCATGATTTTAAAAAATGTTTTAGTCTTATAATTGAATATCTTTGTGTCACTCATCTGTAGTCTTAAGTATATGACTTGACTTGGGGTTTGGAGGAATAGTACAGTGGATAGGACTCTTGTTGTGGCTGAGCTGGTTTCTATCCCTGGTATCCCATATGTTCATCTGATCCCTGGGCATAGAGCCAGCAGTAAGCCCAGGAGTAAGACTGTCAGGCATGGTCCCGAGGCCCAAGCAAAAAAAACTTATAATCTGACCTGAAGCCTACAGTAGTAGTTTAGGGGTTAAGACATGTGGCTTCCTCACAGCCAAACCCAGTAAGATCCCCTGAGCATTACCAGGTACAACCCTGGAGTTTCCTCACACACCCACCGCAACTCCCTCATTGGCTTGGATAAGCAGCACAGCGTCTCACGCCCTTGTATCATACTGCCAGTCCGTTGCTAGGAGGCACCCCTGCCCTGGACCTCCTGAGCACTACTTGAATGACCCTCCAAAATAAAATAATAATAATTTTTAAAAATCTGACCTGAGCATCAGTGATGTTTGTCATGATAACAATTAGTGATGATAGCTGTAGCCAATTTAGTCTGCAGCTGTTAAGAAGGGTACCAGGGTAGCTGTTCTGTTCTCTTTATTTTATGCTTGGAGAATGACCTCAATTTTCTCTTGTGTCTGATTAGTCTTAGCATCTGGTTTCTTTTTTGCTTTGTTCCATTACAGAGGCTGCCTCTCTTTGCTTTTTCTCCCCCACGTCTGGAATCCAGCCAAAGTGCACCAGTACAAGATGCTTCTTAACATTTGAGCCTGTTTCTAAGAATGCTGATTGCAACTTCGGTAAATTCATTTTTAATCCAAGGTGGAAGAGTTTTGCTGTTTGGTGGGAAAAATTAAATGTCTAAAAATAAAACTTGGGCATAAAAATAGGGCCAAATACTCATTTATTGCCTCATTTAGCTGAATCCTGAAATTATTTCAATAGTGCTAAATCAAGTATTTGTGTAAAAGAGGTTAAGGATTTTTTTTTCAATTCATCGTACTTTGTCTTAGATGATAAATGGGTTACAGTAATTTGTCCTTTTACTTAAAAGACATGCATTAAGTAGTTCTAAAGAACCTAAGATTCAGCTTATGCTGACACTTGAATTGGAGCACTCGTGTTCATAAACCCTTTAGAATGTAGGTTTGGGCCTATTACAGTAGAAACGGGGGTAGGGTGGGAAGCACTAGAATTTAGAGTGTATTTTGTAGGTTAGTGGAGCAATAGCACAGTGGATAGGGCATTTGCCTTGCATGGCCGACCTGGGTTTGATTCCTCCATCCCTCTCGGAGAGCCTGGCAAGCTACTGAGAGTATCTGGCCCGCACGGCAGAGCCTGGCAAGCTCCCATTTGTGTATTTGATATGCCAAAAACAGTAACAACAAGTCTCACAATGTAGATGTTACTGATGCTCTCTCGAGCAAACCGATGAATAACGGAGGCCAGTGCTACAGTGCAGCAGGTTAATGTTCAGAAGATCAGTCAAATGTGGGGAGAAACCACTGATGGCATTTATTTAGGAGAATGTTTTAAGTGATTAATATTTTTAATAAAAAAAATCCCCTTTAGACACCATGTTGATTGTGGGCTATAAGAAGGCAAAAATTTAAATAAAAGGGTAACCAGTCAGATATGTGTTTTAGAAACCAGGTTAAGAAATAATAGTACCACATCCCTGGCCCTAATATTAAAATGTTGTATTTTGATTGCTTTTTCATTTTTTATGTCTTTTTCTATAAAAGAAAATGAAGTTTTATTAGAAAAGTCATATATTGAAAACTATGCTTAATTTTCGATAGTAGAGCAGTAGGGCATTTGCTTTGAGTGCAGCCTGCCTGGCAGAGCCAGGTTCGATTCCTCTGCCCTTCTCAGAGAGCCCGGCAAGCTGCCGAGAGTATCTTGCCTGCACGGCAAAGCCTGGCAAGGTACCCGTGACGTATTCAATATGCCAAACACAGCAACAACAAGTCTCAAAATGGAGACGTTACTGGGCCCGCTCGAGCAAATCGATGAACAACAGGAGGACAGCATTTGTTTGTTTTATTTAACACGTAAAACAAAACTGCAAAATCTCCCTGTTTTTATTTTGGTGATATGCGATAACCTAGATTTTTCTTTTTATTTATTTATTTTGCAGGGGCAAGGTCACACACCCGGGGATCCTCAGGGGTTATTCCTTGCTCTGCACACAGGAATTACTCCTGGTGGTGCTGCAGGACCATAGAATGCCTGGGATCAAGCCTGGGTGAGCCGTGTGCAAAGCAAATGCTTTGCCTGCTGAACCATGGCTCCAGTGTCAGATTTTCCTTTTTATATGATTTTAATGTTTTTGTTTGTTTGTTTTGTTTTGGGGGGGCCACATCTGGTGATGTTCAGGCCTTACTTTTAGCTCTGCACTCAGGGATCACTCCTGGAAGGTGTAGGACAGCATATGTGGTGCTGGGAATCAAATCCAGGTCTGCCGCATATAAGGCAGACAGCTTTACCTGCTTGTACTGTTGCTCTGCTCCATAATTTTAATAATTCTTATACATTATCATGTTTCAAATGCAGCCATATAGTAATAAACTTCCAAAATGATTTCTTTAAATTTTTCTTTGTTTTCTTGCTTTTAGTTTTTTCATTTTTTTCCAATTGGGGCAACTTCCGTCAGAGCTCCAGAAGTATTTTAAAGCTTCTTAATTTGCTGTTTTTTTAAATAAATAAATTTCTTACTTTTTTTTTTTTTGTCTGTTGGAGTCGTGGGGCTCTTCAGATGTTCTTGGAGCAACTAAGCTCTTACCCAGAGTGTCCTGGTCCAGAAACCATGCGATACCAGGGATTGAACCCAAGATCTCTTTATGCAGTATGCATGCTCCAGCCTTTTGAACTGTCTCCTCAGCTCCCTGCAGACTATTTTTACAAACTTTTTTAGAGATTAGGGGCACACAGTGCTAATTCTGACTTGCTCCAGGCCCTGTGTTCAGAGATTCTTCCTGGTGGTGTTTGGAGGATCATATGCAGTGCCAGGAATCAAACCAGAGTCAGCTGCATACAAAGCAAGGCCTTATCTCTGGCTCCAAGCTGCTTCTGAAAGAGTGAAAATTTTCTTTAGTCCAACACTAGGAAAAAAAAGCATATTTTTACTTACCTGAAGTTATATTGTCTGTAGACATTTTCCACCTATATTTTAAAACTATTTTTAGTTTTTAAAACATTCTTTGTAAATAATTACTCTAATTGCTAACTTATAATTAAATACATGTTCATTGTAGAAAACTTTAAAAGTAACATAAAAACTACTATACAGAGAGAACCACTGTTGAACTGCCAATTCATTTAACAGCCATTTTTCAGTATCAGTTACATAACAGGCACTACTTTAGATATGAAACATGCTCTGAAGAGTTGACATACTAGTATTCAGTTAATAATATCATGTTATTCTCCTATGTTTAGAATTTTTTAATGTACAAAACTCAGTAATATTTTATGAAGCTAATAATTTCTCTAGTAATGCTCTTAATAAAAACTTCCCTCTGTAACTTTGGAATGAAAAACATAATAGAATGTAAAAGATGATCATTTTTTTAAAATAAAATCAACTTTAGTGACTGTAGAATTATTTATGTTATTAATTAATCTTCTATAATTTAAGATCCTTAGTCAGATAATATACTTTTTCTTTCCTAATTTTTATTTATAATTGGAATTCATAGCATGTATACTTTGCCTCTCTTTGACAGTATAACTAATATGACAACCATAAGACATGAAGGCACAGGCAGTGTGGTATTTCTTCCTCATTTCTCTGTTATCTCTGAGTAGATCTGAAGGTAAGTACCTCTATAGTACATCAAGTTGTTACTTGAATCAGAAGGACCACAAATACCGAGGGCAATGTGACTGTTCCTTCTGTGGCCATTGTAAACTTTTCTAAAAGCTCACTTAATAAGAAGTAGGACAAAGACTAAAGCCTTCATGAGACTTAAAAATCATGTTTCTCTTCTATACTCTGACTAAAATATTTATAATCTTATACCATAAGTAGAATTACTAGAAAGATAAATTTGATTGATTGTTTTGTTTATTGATAGTTTTTAATTGTATGTTGGGAACTTACTTGACAGAAAGTATTATCAACTTTGTGACAGAATTTTTAATTATCCAGTGAAATATTAGAGTTGTTTAATGGAGCAATTAAAGGATTAAAAAAAACCCCACCATTTTCTTTTCCACCTTCCCATTTTTTTAAACACAATACATATTCTTCTAGCTTTCTGTAGGGCAGAATTGGGGTCTTTGTGACTGGTCCACATGAGCATCCAATTCTCCCATTATGGATTGTCTTATTGTTCAAGACTCTGAGGGTTTAACTCCACTGTGATGAAGATTGGCACTTTCCAGTACTAACATAGAATATGTAAACCAACTATTATATCTACTTTATTTAAAGAAATACTTTTTAAAATTTTTTTGTTTTCTTTTGGGATCTGGGCGAGTCAGGGCTTACTCCTGCCACTGTGCTCAGAGATCAGTCCTGATGAAGCTCAAGGTGTCAGGGTTTGAACCTGGGTCATCTGCAAGCAAGGCAATAGCTTGCCCAGTTACTTTCTCTCAAATCCTGAATCTATCTTCCTTCCTTCCTTCCTTCCTTCCTTCCTTCCTTCCTTCCTTCCTTCCTTCCTTCCTTCCTTCCTTCTTTTTTCATAAGACACTGAGATTTATACAGTTATTATAAATTGATCAAATAGGCTAGATGGATCCTTCAGTTACTGAGTACATTTTCTTTATTAAAACATTCTTTGTGGGGGCTGGAACTATAGTACAGCAGGCTGGGCATTTGCCTTGCATGCGGCTGACCTGGGTTCAATCCCCAGAATCCCATATGCTCCCTGAGCACCGTCAGTACTAATTCCTGAGTGCAGAGCCAGGAGTAACCCCTGAGCACTGCCGGGTATGACCCAAAAAGCAAAAATAAAATAAAATAAAACACTCTTTGTGATAAAACTATTTATTTTTTAAATTATTTTTTGGAGACTGGAGAGATAGCTTAATGGGTTGGGTACATATTTTGCATGTATGAGACCCAGTTTGGATCCCTGGCATGACATGCTTCCCCAGAACTTCTGAGAGACTCCCTTGAACATAGAGCAGGAGTAATTCCCAAGTACTGCCAGTATAGACTCCAAACAAAGCAAAACTTTAAATTAATTTTTGAAGTTGACAGTGTTCATGTGTGTAAATTAGGATTGGATTCTACATTTATGTCCAAAGTAATATTTCTTCACTTTGTTTTGACTGATGATAGACTGAGTGGTCTGAATGTCAAAATAAATGAATGACTTCATTTTCCCTTTTAAACTCTTCCAATTCATGTCCTCTTCTGCTTGAGACTAGGTTCTGAATATTCCTAGTAGACTCCTGAACCCGCATTGCTGTCCAGCTGTTCTAAATACTTTCTCATCAAATTAAGTTTGCTGTATTCCTTTAGTTCCTGCTTTCTTTAGCTTTCTGGATAAGTTGATTTATTATTGTTTTAGAGGGTGTTAAAAGTGAATGTATTCACAGAATAAAATTTTTAAAAGATGGGATTCTTTTCTATACATAATGTATATAACTCATAGTGCTGTAGCAGAACAGTATCAGAGAAAAGATGAGACTATTGATCAAGTGGATAGCAAACTAGTGTTTGTATCTGTCAAGCTATTGCCAATTCTCATAGTTATTTTGCAAAAATTTCAGTCATAGAGATCCATGACTTATTTCTTGCAATAAGACTTACCAGAATGTTCTTTGTGTCATGGTCTGTTACTGATTAAAATGATATTGAGCATGATTCTTCTAGGTATTTTATCACACTTAAAGAACTAATCATCAACACTTTTATAATTTCTCTTTATTTTAGATATATCATTTCCACAGGTTTTTGGTCTATCTAAACCTCAGAAAAAGGAAACAGTCACTGGAAGACTTGATGCAGATGTAACCCTCCCTTGCTCTTTTGAGATTGGGTCTGAACCAGTAATTTACTGGCGGAACCAAGAGAGTGATATTGTTCACTCATTTTTCAAAAATGCTGACCAGGTTGCTGGCTCCCAATACGTAAACAGGACATCCCTATTTCAGGAAGAAATTCCAAATGGGAATGCCTCCCTAATACTTAAAAGATTAAGACTTCAGGATGAAGGGACTTATACCTGCTATGTTGGAACCTCATCTAGTAATTCCTGGACACACGTAGTGCTAAATTTAGAAGGTAAGTGAGTTTGTATGGTTTTATAAAATAATAGTGGCATCATAGATTTTCTTAAATGTCATTTCCTTAGTTTAATATATTATGGGTTTCCTTCTGATTCAATAAATATAAATCTACCTCATTATTTTTTGATGCATCAAATCTGATGCTATAATTGATCATTGATTTATCTGTTTGCATTGGAGGCTAGTGAGGTGTTTAAGCTGTTGTGATAAACATCTTCATATCTAAATGAATATGATCTGTAAGAACACAATACTATCACAAACAGCATAAACATACTGATATTCTCATTAGTCTCATCAGCACCTAATATTATCAGCCTTAAAAATGTCTATCAATATGTTAGCCAAACAGTATTGAATTACTTGTTCAAATTACACACACACATATGTGTGTTTTCTCAATAGGAGTTATTTTAATATTATATGATTTTCTTTTGTCCATATTAATTTACTTATATATTTGGGTGGAGAAACATTTTCCAATGGGTATTTAATTTATTCCTTCTCCTTCTGTCCCATTTAGCTGTTTCAGACCTTGACTCAGAAATTTAAGAATAATGTGTAAACAAAGAGTCAGAAAGGATTTAAGCCTATACCTGAATTGTTAGAAGTGATACATGAGCTCTAGTTTACAGGCTTTGACATCCATATTTTGGTTGTTTATTAAGACCAAATTTAGTCCCAAGGATTCTTCTGAGAAAATTGAGATCATTGTTGCTATGTATTCTTGCATGTTTCTTTTATCTTTTGTAGGAAATCACTCTATTTCTTAAGATTCCATAGAGGGTTTTTAAAATTTTTTACCTGTCACTCATGGTCGGGTTTGCTCAGAAAATTTATCTTTTTTTTTCATAGGTGTTAAAATAATAAATTCTCTGTACAGGTGGCCTAAAAAGAAGCTAATTATAACATCCTTCATGTGTCCTTTCCTTCCCATAGGTTTCATGACACCTGTGATTGAATATGAAGAGACTAACTCAAACAACAACTTAATATGCAGTGTGTTATGTGCTCAGCCTTGTCCAAATATCACATGGGAAATGGATAATATATCCATTTCTAACCCCATAGTAGAAGAAAGTGGTTCTTATGTTTACAGTACAATAAACATTGTATCGCCAGGTTCATTTTATGAATGTGCTATCGAAAACTTGTTGCTGGAGCAAAAATGGACAGGAAGATGGACAAAGAAAGGTGGGTTCCATAGGTTGTTGTATATCTGTGCTATGTCAGAGGTTGGGAGGAATGAGGCTTGCTTTACAGGAAAAGAAGAACAGAGAAGAAGGAAAATGCATCTATGAAATGAGACTAAGACTAGAATTCCAAATCAAATACTTACTGATTATATTACCTTTGCCAATCATTTTCACTTCTGAGCAATATTTACTCATTGGCAAAATTCCTCAAGTAGTTCTTACTTTTATAGATGTTATGAATTGATGGAAATATTTGTGGAATGAATATAGCAGATATATCCATGAATATTTCTCTGTTATTTATCCTTTACAGAAATTTCCTACCTATTTTCCAGTATTACTGGAAATGGAAAGAATGATATCTTATTAGCAAGTTATAACCCCTGACTCCTACCAATCTTTAAACTAAACAAAAATGAAATAATTAGCATTATTACTTTTGTTTGGTCTCCTTTAACAATATTAAGTCATTAGTTTTCATCAACGTTTCCATCAGTATTTAACATTTATTCTTTTATTAAACAAACCCTGGTGAGTCTTCTCATCTATGAGTCTACTTTTTATAAAGGGTGAAGGGAAACTAATTGATAATACTCATTCAACTCTTAGGAAAAGTATGGTTTAATATTCTAGCATAAACAAAGCAAATTGTATTTGTAAATGCTCATTATGTGGAAAAAGTATAGGTCACTTACCCTCTTACGCTTCCTTTTCCTTATCAACAGTTTCCCAATCTCAATTACATACCAAGAAAAAACTCAAAGTATCAGTAATTGATTCAACATCTTTACATGAGTTCAGTATTAAAGTATTGGAGACCCAATGTTTAATTTTTATCAGCCAGGCGGCAATGGAAAGAAATGGGGGAAAGGGTAGATAATGTTAATATTAAATTATAACTGGTTTCTTGGGAACACTGTAACCTCATATGTCTTTTTTAGAATTGAGGGTCCTGAAGTACCAAGTTCCTTAAGCTCAAAGCTATTTTGTCTTAGAATTATGTGCAAAACTTAGTTGCTTTCACACTATGACCTTAAGAACAAGGAGTCTTACTTATTTTAGATCCACAGTATCTAAAGCACAAACATGTAAAAATAAAACTGAACTAGGAATGTAGCAATTATGTTATTGTGATTGGGCATAAATGGGGTTGCTGCGGAATAAATGCTTAAGGGAGTTGCAAACGTCAGAATTTTAAGAGAAGTAGGAAACTGTGGGAGAACAGTGGAATGCCAGTACCCGACCTGCAAAACACATAAAAGCAAATTTTCCTGAATTTATTGAAGTACAAATAGTTTACGGTAATGCTAAAGTAACAAAAGATAGAGAAACAGAAATAAGAATTAGATTAAAGGACGCCAACTTGCTAAGGGGCTTGAACAGGGACCTACAGGTGATGTGAAATCAAAGATGGATTTAAAGCATCAAAGAGATTTGAACCCTGGATTTTAAAGAGCTCGTTTTGGTGTCTCTCTCTTGCAGGAGACTTGACTACTAGCTAAGTCTAGAGCCAGGGAAAATGATCATGGCAATCATGTAGTACAGACAATGTAATAGGGCAGGCAAACTGAAAACACTAGTCAAATTTCTATTCAAAATGAACTCGGTCTATTAAAGTATTGCCTGCATGAAATTGGAAAAATTAAAATTTATTAAATAAAAAAAATAGACCACAACCAACAGTAGTTGGTTAACAACTCAGTATAACTGGAAGGCGGATAACTTCACATTTAACTGTATATACAGCATATGTCCACTTCTGTGGCTATTCACCAGCCACTTCCACCCCATTGACACCCTCTACCTTGTCCCAACCCCTGCTTACCTTCTTTCTGCTCTGTAGTAACCATCACTCAGTTTTTAGAATCTAAGGCTTTTTTTTGTTTCCTTTTTTCTTTCTATTTCACCGATTTGTGAAACCATACAGAATTGTCTTTCTTTGACTTATTTTACTTAGCATAATTACCTCTGGGTTTATCCATGTTGTTGCAAATGGTAAGATTTCATCTTTTATTTATAGCTGAGTTATTTCATTGTGTCCATAGACCACCACAGCTCTATACATTCATTCATTATGGGCACAGTTTTTTTTCCCTATCTTGGCTATTGTCAGATATGCTTCAGTGAATTAGGTAGGGACACACACACACACACACACACACACACACACACACACGCACACAAACATTTCAAATTAGTGTTTTCTTACGTATTCTTCAGGTAGATGCCCAGAAGTGAAATTTCAGGATCATAAGGCATTTATATTTTTAACTTTTTTTGGAACTTCCATTCAGTTTTCCATAAAGTCTGCACCAAATTACATTTCTACCAATACTGCACAATGTTCCTTTGTCTCTGCATCTTCATTACTTACTGTTTCTTTCTTCTTTAATAATAGGAACTCAAAGCCATGAGGTGAAATCTCACTGTGGTTTTAGTTACATATAAGAAGGAAATATTTTTTCATGTACCTGATGAGTAATATGTCTATTATTTTAATAAAATTTCTTTTTAAATCCTTTACCCTTTTATAATTACTGATGTTTTGTTACTATTGTTGAGATAATGTTATGATAATTTTTATTTTGGATATTAACCAACTGTCTAATATGTACTTGAAATATTTCTTTTATTCATAAATTGCTTTTTAGAAATCATTAAAAATTTATTTTTTGGTCACACCTAATAGTGCTTAGGGCTATACCTGTTTTGGTGCTCTGGGTCACTTCTGGTGTTATTCAAGGGAACATACAGTGCTGGAAATCAAATTATGGAGTCTTGCAGATAAAACATGTGGCCTACTTGGTTGAACTATCTGTCTCTCTAAGTTTAATGATGTTTTCTTTTATGTACAGTAGGTTTTTAGTTTGGTATTGAGTTCTTTTTCACAAAGTGGTTGCATATGGATGTTATGTTATATGGGTTTATTTCTGGGCTCTGTTATATTCCATTGCTCTGTGTGTCTGTTTATATTCCAAAGCCATATTATTATTTTAATTGTTTTGTTGTAGTTTGAAGTTAGGAAACATGATACCTCTATTTTTCATCATTATTATCTTTTGCTTTTTAATGTTTTTAATGATTTTAATGTCTTTTGTTATTATTGTTGAGTTATTGTTATTTTTATATTTTGGATATTAACCCTTTGTCTAATATGTTTTCAAATATTTTCTTATTCACTAGACTGCTTTTATTAAATTATTAAAAATTTTATTTTGGGTCCACACCTAGTGGTACTTAGGTTTTATACCTGGCTTGTCAAAATAATTTTTTTTGTTCTATTTATTTGAAGATTACTATTGGTCTTATAAGAATTGAACTGAATCAGTATGTTTTTGGTTTCTTTGACCCATAAGCATAGATAGTATTCTTTGCTTTTATCTTTCCTTCTTATGAAACAGTGTCTTATAGTTTCAATGTATGGTTATTCATGATTCAGTTCCTAAAATAAATCCCTATCTATGTTATTCTTTCTTAAGAACACCATGTTTTGTTTTTTAAAATAACTTTAAGTACTTTTAAATCTTTTTTCTGGGGGGAGGGATGAATCCAGTAGTTCTCAGGGGTCACTCGGCTGTGCTCAGAGAATCATATACGAAGAGTCAGGGATTGAACTGGGGTCAGTCATATGCAAGGCAAGTGCCTTAACCCATATATCATATCTCTGGTCCTTATTGTTCTTATATATAATCATAAAATATGTTATTTTCTTCATTTATCTTTCTGTTAGTTTGTTGTAACAGATTTGTGCATATTGATTTTGTAGCCTGTAACTTTACTCTATTGATTATTTCTAATATATGTTTAATTTAGACATAAAAATTTACAATAGTGTTTATATGAATATTTGGGGAATACAATGTCATTGTATCACTCCTACTAGACTGCCAACAACTGTCTCTTCTACTTGCTCTAGGTCCTGATTCATACTCCCATTAGCAGACCCTGAGTGTCTGTTATTTATAGGCAAACTCTGAGTGCCTGTTATCACTAGCTATTGTTTACCTTGCTATGTTTCTTAATCCTTCACATATTAACAAAAATCATTTGGTGTTTATATTATCTCTGATTCACTTTGCTCAACATGACACCCTCTAACTATATTCAAGTTGCACTGAAGTGCAAGGTTTTATCTTTTCTAAAAGCTAGGTAATATTCCATCGTGTAATTATAGCAAGAATTTCTTTCATCTCCCATCTTTTGTTGAGCACTTGGATTGCTTCCAGATATTAGCTATTTTAAATAGTGCTGCAATAAAAATAGACGTAAAAATTCCTTTTTGAATTAAAATTTTTGTGCTGGGATAGATGTTCAAGAGTGAAATTGTTGGATCATATGGAAGCACTAGTCTTAATTTTTGAGACATCTCCATACTGTGTTCCACAAAGACTGACTCATATAACGGTCCCACTATGAGTAGATAAAGATTTATCTTCACCACATTCTCCTGCCTTCCCTAGGCACTGGTTGTTTCCAGATATTTTAATTGAGGGGGGCATTCTCTCTGGTATAGGTGATGGTATAGGTGATGTAACTTTGAATTGCGTTTCTCTAATCCTTGATGATTAACACTTTTTTCATATGTTTCTTGACCATCTGTATTTCTTCTTTGAGTAAGTAACTATTCAACTTCTCTCTACATTTTTATGACAGGAATAACTCTTTTGTTGTTATTGAATTTTGTGAGTGCTTAACATGTTTTAGATATTAGCCTTTGTCAGAATGATGGCGCATGAATATTTTCTCTCACTCAGTAGGGAGTCTTTTATTTTGTCAGCATTTTAAATTTTAGCAGTACAGAAACATTTTAGTTGAGTAGTCCCATTTGTTTATTTTTTAAATTCTGTGTTCTTAGTAGCATCAAATCATTGACAATGCCTTTGAAGTCAACGTCATGGAGAATTCTGCTTATAATTTTCATAAAATTCTCATGGTATATTTTATGGATGGGGTATAACTTATAGGTTTCTGGTGCATTTTAGTTGTTTTGTGAACATAAGTGGTATTTCTTGCTTTGCTCTGTTTTGTTTTCTGTTTGTTATTTATTTGCATGAGGATAACTAATTTTTAGTGCAATTTGTTGAAGATTCTTCTTTCTCTTCTTCCTCTTCTATTTTCTCCTTCTCCTCCTCCTCCTCCTCCTCCTCCTCTTTCTCTTCCTCCTTCTCCTACTCCTCCTCTTCCTACTTCTCCTCCTGTCTCTCTCTCCTTCTCTCCCTCCCTCCTCTTTGGCTTGGGGCACCAGAAGCAATACTGGGCAAAAAATTCAGGTTATTCCATGAAAAGCAATTTAAGAGCACCAGTCTTAGTCTGGTGCTCTTAAACTGAGTTGCATCCTCATACCACATACCTGAATGTAGAAGTTGCAAAGTAGTTGCTAACAGTAAAGTGTTTTGAAATGCAACAACCAAACATTTATTCAACAATCAAACGCACAATGAATCTGAAATAATTCTGACTTTGTTGCTCTGTGTTGCCTTTTGTGATTCAAAAAGCAGTCACAAGTGAAAAAAATTTGGTAAGACCAATTTTAAACTGCTCTATTCTATCTTAGGTCTGATAGCTTGGTGTTACTCAATTTATGTTATGCAGTCTAGGAGCACAGTCCCTTTGACTTATTGAGCCAATGCATTCTTTTTGTGTGCTCTGCTTACTTCCCTGTCTTGGGGAAGCACAGTGAGCTGATGGGTCACATTGGTTGGATTTCCTTGTTGTCCTCAACTGTGGTATACTGAGTTGGTCATGCTGTGGGTTGAGCTTTGAAACTGGCTGCTGCAAGTTGATGTGTAATGCTGTCTGCCATGCCTCTTAGTGGTATACATCACTGTGTGACAGGTGGATGGAGCTGCTGAATGTGCTGGTGTAGCACAATTGTTTACTGGTAACTGGAACATACTTTTCATAGTTGTGTGGGGCCAACTTTCTGACTCTGAGGCAGAATCCACTTATTATCTGCTGAGGTTGCTTGAAAGAAATGGGCCACCTTGCTTACTAGAGGGGTGTAGCCCATTTGGCAAGGGTCTCCCCTTTTCATAACTGTCATTAGAATCTTGATTGACTTACTACTTTGTAGGGATGTGAGGAGCTCTTACCAAGGATATAAAAAAAACTAGTGTACAAAGGGTGGATTACAAGTTGGTAACCACCAGTGCTGATATCAGTAAGGTGTTAGAGCTTGCCAAGATAGAACCTGCCAAGGTTCATACTGAAAAGGTATTCCTAAAGTTTCTTGATTCTTTTTTGGGGGGGAGGCTGGATCGCATCCGTTGATGCTCATTGGTTACTCCCAGCTCTGTACTCTGGAATTACTACTGGCCGTACGTGAGGGACCATAATGGAATGTCAAAGATTGAATCTGGGTCTGTATATGCAAAGCAAAATCCCAATTTACTCTACAATCACTTCAGCCCTAAAGTTTCTTGATTCTTAAGCAAATAGTGTAAGAATGGTGTCCGTAAATCCTTTATTTATGGGTTGATACTGAGAAAACTTGGTGTTACTGTATTAGATCTCAAAGAGTGTAAGTCTGTATATGGATCTATTAAGTAGCAATATTTAGTCTATTAGGGAGAATGATGGAGAGATTCCTGGGAAAGATCCACATTTGAGTGGTCAAAAACAAAACACGCTAACAAGTTTGGTAACTAGTTACCAAGTTAACTTATGCTCAACTAGTTGTGTTTAACTAGTTGAACTAGTTAACTTATGTCAACAAGTTTAGTAACTAGTAGTTCATTCATTCCTACAACACTCACTGTCACATTATAACAGTGTCACATTATAAAACCAAGGTGCATCACCTATCTAGCTTTCCAAGGTAGGCATTTTGAAGACAAAAATTTATCCTGAGTGGTGTATTTAAAATTAGGATAATAAAGTTTTTATTAAAATTCCAGAGCAAAATATTTAATGGTTTCTTGGAAAAGTCATTTCAAAATACATTTCAAAGTATAACTTGGGGAAATTCATTTGAAAATTTAATTTTCTTTTGTTATCTATTCCATCCTGTTAAAAGATCTTATAGCAACAGAAAGTGAAGATGTTTCACTTTTGTGTGAACTTGGAAACAACCTTTTTCAACCTGATGAAGACTTCATGGTCACTTGGTCCAGAGTGCAAAATGGGACTTCCTGTATGCTGGCTTCCTTTCGGAGCTCCTCACAAGAAATTACCATCAATGAATCTCGACTATCATGCAATGAAGAACAAATAAACCAAGGCACCATCTCTTCAACTTTGACAAATATTAGTACTTCAGACAGTGGGGAATATTTATGCAATATTTCTTCAAGAAAATATACATTACTCACCACCCAAATACTGTATGTAGGTAAGTTGGTTAACGTATTTTGGTAATAGGAACTGTGAATATCAAATAGTGAACTTATGTTGGCATTTAAAAAGACCTTCAACGAGTATTTTAGAAAATGCTACATATATAGTTACTTTTGTTTCAGATAGGAGACAACCTCTTTTTCTTTTAATGTAGTAGAAGATACTACATTAAAAGAAAAAAAATTACTCACACAAGATTCCTTTTCAGGATTTCTTTTCAGGAGTTGGGCCACTACAATGAAGAGTCTAAAACTAATTTTATTTTTCTGGTAATTCTATGAGCTGAGAAACTTCAATTCCAACTTATTGCTGATCCTAATTATGTGTTTTAGAACTGAAGTTTGGGGAGGTGAAGATGAATACACAGTTGTAAATAAGAATTGGGCCACTGGGCCAGGGAGATAGCTTTATGGTCAGGGTCACATTGCTGTTGTCATGATGACTGTGTTGATAATACATGGTTTCAATGCCTGCCGACTTCATTGCGGTGCTCACACACTTTTAATCAGAGATTACATACTTTGTTGTGGTGTCAGTGATCCCCTCAGTAGTACCATTAGGTTTGTACTTGGGCATAAAGGATAGTGCCAGAAATAGAATTTGCAGCTTTACTCTTGCAAGGCAAACACTGTACCCATAAAATATTCCTGCCCCCCCCAAATATTTTTAATGTATCCTTGTGTTAAATTCATCTGTGACTACTAAAAAGTAACTGGAAAAAATCAATCTAAAGTGTATTTACCATCCAACTTTCTAACAGAAGATCTAATGTTTAGTTTATACAAAGCAAGACATAAAGACTACTCATTAAGACAAAGGAAAGATTTTAAGAATCTCTCATTCCCAAGAAGGCATTGAACAGTTTATACTAGAGAATAGACTTCACACATCTCTCTCAGGAATAAGAGCAAAGATACAGAGAAATTAGTTCTGGTTCTTTTGACATCACTCTTTCAAGGAAACTTGATCCATGCTGTCTGTTATTCTAGTCATCAACTGTAGCTTCTAAATTCCACAGCTCCACCTTGGTTCTTCTGTTCCCCTCTGCCCCCTTATCATGATTCCTCTAGGACCCTCTATTTCACAGAGTGGGACTGGACTACACTAGTTCTCCATTCATCCCCAAAGAGATTTCTGGACTCAGGCTAGTTTATAGCCAATTATTCATTTGTAAACATATACTTCATTTTTTGCAATATAGTATAGAGACTTGAATGCAAAAATGACATATGACTCCTCAATATTTTAAACTATTTCCCTTCTATCATCCTCTTTAGCACTAAACTGGCTAATTTAAATGTTTCCAGTCTCCCACAACTGAAGAGTTGAGACAGGAAGATGTCTTTTCTTCCTAAAATCTGCTGGCATAGACAGGATTCTGGATCTTAACTTTTATTTTTATGTATTTGAGGTGCTAGGGATTGGACCCGCGGTTTCACACCTGAAACTGCTCTGCTGTTCAGTGCTCAACTACATTCTGATTTTCTTGGTCTTAACTTACTTAATGGGCTGGAGCGATAGCACAGCGGGTAGGGCGTTCGCCTTACAAGCGGCCAACATGGCCGACCCGAGTTCGATTCCTCCTCCCCTCTCGGAGAGCCCGGCAAGCTACCGAGAGTATTCGATATGCCAGACACAGTAACTTACTTAATGAATTTTTTCACTGATATGATGTCTATCTCTCACCCAAAATTTAGAAATAATCGCTCTTAAAAATAGTAAAGAGGGGTTATAGAGGAAACACACAGATCAAGAATGCATGCTTTGGGGCACCATGGCCCCTAAAGCATTGTTGGGTGTGTCCCTGCAGGCTCTGAACAGTTGCAAAGCCCCAGGACCAAGCACTGGACTGTCTGGAGTGGTCAACCATCACAGAGAGTGGCTCTGGGTCCTCCTGACCATGGAAGGTTCAAAAACAAATTTTCAAAAAGAAAATAAACAAATAACAAAATAAATATACCACAATCACTCACCTACAGGTTTTCTCTCTTTTTTTCTGCTCAGTAGTTTCAGCTTCTATATGTTTTTTTGTTTGTTTAGAACCATCTACAGAAATGCCTCTTATGGTCAATGCTGTGGTTGGTGTGGTGGTGGTGATGCTGGTGATTTTGGTGTTATTATGCTTATTTCTTGCATTAAGAAGATGCATTTGCTGCTGCCCAGGTAATAACTCATAGGAAAAGTGGCTATCTCTGTGTATTCAGATAGAGGTGTATTGAAGATGACATTAATTAAATACCCAAACTGTTGCCTTGCATGTAAACAGATGTAAATTTTTTGAAGAGTCATTTGTAAATTTTTCATGAATCCTTTAAAATTTTCCTGCATTTCCATGCAACTGTTCAATTTCTAGAAACTTATCCTGCGTTAAATGGTTGGGACACATCAAGCTGTTCATAAAGCACATTCACTGAAGCATACTGCCATCTTCCAGGTTTCCTCCGTTGCAATAAATAATAGAGGCTTGATTAAGTAAATTGAAAATTACATTTGTTTTCATTAAAGAATACAAATATAAATCTGTCAGTAAAATAGTACTCAGAATGAGTTCAATTATCTGGTTTAATCTGAAAACTGGCTGGAAAGAAAAACAATGCGATAAAGATGGTGGCTTTGGATAGAAGTGACCCCTCTCCATCACATGATGGACAGAGGGCATGTAGAAAAGAACCTACCCAGGTTCTTTTGTTCTGTCTTTTCTTCCTTCAGTTGTTGGCTTTCATCTCTGATCTGCTTTTTTTCCTTTCTTTGATCTTTGTGTTTAGTTTCTACTGTTCAAACATCACTGTCCTTGGGGGTAGGGGATATTTTATTTTGATTCTTGTTAAATTTTATTTTAACTTTAAATTTTTTTGTAAAAAATCTAAATTACTTATAATAATTTAATTTTTTTACTATAGTTTAAAATGATACATTAAGATGTAATTGGCATAGAACTTGTGAAAGGACTGCTTTGATTAACAGACTTAGATCTAGGAAAAGCTTAGATCTATTTATTTCCATTCTTTACAGAGAAGGAAAACTGGAATCCAAGAAGTTAACCAAGTAGGAGAAGGAATCAGACTTAAGCACGGCACCTATGTGGCCCAGCTAACTAGTAGCAGGGGCAGAACTAGGTCCCAAGAAGCTTTTATTCTGTAACCCTCCTGAGAAGTATCCTGAGTATCCTGACAGTTTAATAATGTTCCCGTGTCTTTTCCTCTTGCTGCTTTTTGCCTGTGCCTGTTGCTTTTTTTATAGTTAGACATTTGGTCACAACAAACATTATTACTGAAGGTATTTTTTGGGGGGGGTCACATCTGGCGATGCCAGGGGTTACTCCTGGCTCTGCACTCAGGAGTTACTCCTGGCAGTGCTCAGGGGACCATATGGGATGCTGGGAATTGAAGCCGGGTTGGCCGCGTGCAAGGCAAACGCCCTACCCGCTATGCTATCTCTCCAGCCCCGACTGAAGGTATATTTTAAGGGTTTCAATAGCACAGCAGGTAGGGCGTCTGCCTTGCACGCAGCCAACATGGCCAACCCGAGTTCGATTCCTCCACCCCTCTCGGAGAGCCTGGCAAGCTACCGAGAGTATTCCATATGCCAGACACAGTAACAACAAAGTCTCCAATGGAGACGTTACTGGGCCCGCTCGAGCTCGAGCAAATCACTGTGACTATAGGCTAGTTTCCTTATCTGTTGTTCCTGTTCCTTAATAAGCAGAAAATATGGGAGGTGCCATCTACTTAGCTGCACAATGTAACTTTTGACCTAAAACATAATTATAATTAAATGAAGTTTAACTTTTAGGAGAAAAGGGTACTATTATACAGCACAAGAATGACAGCTTAGATTTTGCATTGGAAGTATATGTAAGTCAAGGCCCAGACAAAAGAAAGACAGAAAAAATAAGATAAAAAGAAAGAGAAAAGGAGAGAAAAAAGAGAAAGAAAAGCAGAAAGAAAGAAGAGGAAGAGAGGAAGAGAGAAAGAAATAAAGAAAGAAAGAGAGAGAGAGAAAGAAAGAAAGAAAGAAAGGGAGGGAGGGAGGGAGGGAGGGAGGAAGGAAGGAAGGAAGGAAGAAGGAAAGAAAGAAAGAAAGAAAGAAAGAAAGAGGAAGGAAGGAAGGAAGGAAGGAAGGAAGGAAGGAAGGAAGGAAGGAAGGAAGGAAGGAAACAGCATATATAAAATTGTACAAAAGAGAACATGGAAGTTAATGTCCTCTCAGAACTGGAGGCAGCTGATTCACTAAAACACTGGAAGAGACCAGATGAAGAGCAGTTCCTAAGATCTTGACAAAGAAAGATATCTTCTTCACTCTAGAATTCTGCCAATCCAGATGATGGATAGGGAAAGGAGATGGAATGATAAGTATTTGATTTTTCTCACCTCTTTGTCTTTCTCTCTGATCTCACCCAACTAGATAGGACACTACAGGATACCAGAAGGAATGAAAGCCCTGAACAAAGAACTAATCCAGAGGAGATACCCATGGTGGTAGGGTCTGGGGTTCTAAAGGCACACGAAGAATATCTCAAGAACTAAGGTACTGGCTACTTAAATGTATTATTTATAGTTTTATAGTAGATGAGCCAAAGACATATTTTGAGCTCTACAAAGAACCATAAGATTTTGCTTTATCTCCAAGGTCGCTGGTTGTAGTTTCCTAGTTATATGAAATTATATTTATGTGAAACCTGTTTTTCTATTTAATGCCCTTTTCTACTGCTCTGTTTTACAATGATCTTATTTTAAGGTATGTCTAAAAGAACCATATTTAACTCAAGGGCCAGGAAGACATTAATTCAGAAATGATTCGTACTTTTTTTTCTTTAAATCATCAACTCCTAGATTATTATTTTCCATTGGATAATAGTTAAGAATTAAGCTAACAATTCTAAAAGCTAATGACTTCCAGCCTGGTTTCTGGTCCCCAAACTGCTATTTGTGTCTTATGAATTACTTCTTCAATGGTTTTTGTTTGTTTTCTTTCCAGCTCAGGTATTTTATTTGATATTCTTTTTTTAAAAAGTGTTTTTTTTTAATTAAGGGGGTGGGGGGTGGAGAAAAAAAGAAGTAATGAGTTAGCAAGGCATCAGGGCTTCAGCTATAAGAGGTATAGTCATGTATCCAGACAGATTCAACTGAGCTGAAAACATGAGATCTCAGCAGCAACCACTGAAACTTTGTAATGTGCTCATCAAGTTGACAAGTGGGGGTGGAGTGAGGCTTCAGATGGTGAGGGAATCTGGGAACACTGATGGAAGGAAGTTGACACTAGTGGAAGGATTGGTGTTGAATTATTTTATGCCTAAAATGCAACTATCAGTAACTTTGTAAATCATGGCATTTTTTTAAAAAAAAATTTTATTAGTGAAACACAATGAGGTACAGTTGTAGACTTACAAATTTCTGTGCTTGGGTTTCAGTTATACAATGATAGAGTACCCATCCCTCCACCAGTGCCCATTCTCCATCACCACTGATCCAAGTATCCCTCCCACTCCCCACTCCCCCTGCCTCTGTGGCAGAGCATTCCTTTTTGGGTGCTGTGGTTTGCAAAAGAGGCATTGAGTGGCAATCATGTTCCGTCTATAGTCTACTTTCAGATGCATCTCCCATCCAGGGAGAATCCTCCCAACATCTTTATTTGGTGCTCCTTTCTCTATCTGAGCTGCCTCTTCCCCTAGCATGTGCAGCTGTTCTCCAAGCCATAGAGTAAACCTCCTGGTACTTATCTTAGCTATTCTTGGGTAATAAAACTTTTAAAATGCAAATAATAATAAAAAATAAAAATACAAAAAAGAAAAAAGTGATTTTCTTATAGTTTAGGTGACATGGCTTCAATAATTTTAACACTTACAGTATTAATGTGAAAATTACTTCACCCAATCACCTTTGAAATGCCCAAAGCCTTGCACCATGGCCCCTACATCACCTTTAGTAATATGTTTATTCCTTACACTTCTATACTGCTTGGTATTTCTTCAGAGGGAAGATCTGAAATGTTGATCAACTAATATGATGCTGAGTGTATGATTATTTTAACTTAGGAGTAAGGAAGAATGGGAGCATTTTGAAAACTTTTTGAAAAAAATGTTTTTTAAAAAATTTTTTTTTCAAAAATCTTTAAAGAAATATTTTTAAACTTTGGTCTCTTTTTTACTGTAGAAAGGAACAGTACTGATAATACAGAAGAATACATGGTAAAGAACTTTCTTTGTCTAACCAATTATGAGTTCTGTCAAAAGATGATTGAAAGTTTGACTGTTTAATTGTATATATACTGTCATTGTCATTGTCCTCCCATTGTTCATTGATTTGCTCAAGCGGACCCAGTAACATCTCCATTGTGATACTTGTTGTTACTGTGTTTGGCATATAGGATACGTCACGGGTAGCTTGCCAGGCTTTGCCTTGAGGGTGAGATACTCAGTAGCTTGCCAGGCTCTCCAAGAGGGGTGGAGGAATTCAACCCAGGTGAATGAGGTAGGGCTTGCACAAGGCAAACACCCTACTGCTGTGCTATTCCTCCAGCCCATATATTTATGTAAGACATTATGCAGGAAAGAGGCAGAGAGAGTGAAATTATAGGATAATTCTTTCAGGAAAAGATAAAATGCGACTTTTTCCAAACTGTTGTTATTTAAACAAGTAGAACCTGCATAAGTGGCTACTCTTCGCATCTCCTGTTACTTATAGAGAATATCTCAAATGTTATGATGGATATAAGAATGCACCATTATACTTCTTCTGGTGAAAACATCTAGTGGGATTATGTGAAGTGGAAGAAAGATATTAACAGATAAATAAAAGCAGATTATACATTTTGTTTCTAAGACTCACACTATGATTTTATTTACATCTAGATTCCTAAGGAACTTGTAATTCATTAGTTTCAATGATTTGTTTTTATTAGTGAAACACCATGAGGTACAGTTGTAGACTTACAAGCTTTCATGCTTGGGTTTCAGTTATACAATGATCGAGTACCCATCCTTCCACCAGTGCCCATTCTCCACCACCAATGATCCCAGTAGCCCTCCCTCTCACCTCCATCACCCCAACCCACCCCACCTTTGTGGCAGGGCATTCCCTTTTGTGCTCTCTTTCACTTAGAGTGTTGGTGATTTGCAATCGAGGTATTGAGTGACCATCGTGTTCAGTCTATAGTCCATTTTCAACATGCATCTTGCATCATGAGCGAATCCTCTAAACATCCTTTACTTGGTGTTCCCTTCTCTGTATGAGCTGCCTTTTCCCTCAGCATATGCTGCCGGCCTCCAAGCCATGGAGCAGACCTCCTGGTACTTATTTAAACTATTCTTGGGTGTTCATCTCCCGTTCTGTTACTTTAGATATCCCAGATGAGAACAGTCTTTCTATGTCTGTCCCTCTCTTTCTGGCTCATTTCACTTAGCATGATACTTTCCATGTAGAACCACTTGTATATAAATTTCACGAATTCATCTTTTCTAACAGCTGCATAGTATTCCATTGTGTAGACATACCAAAGTTTCTTTAACCAGTCATCTGTTCTTGGGCACTTGGGTTTTTTTTCCAAATTTTGGCTATTGTGAACAGTGCAGCAATGAACAAACAAGTGAAGAAGTCATTTCAGCTGTACTTTTTGGTCTCTCTGGGATTTTCTCTGAAGTGGTATTGCTGGGTCAAATAGGAGTTCAATATCTAATTTTTTTAGAATCATCCATACTGTTTTCCAAAAGGGCTGAACCAGTCAACATTCCCACCAGCAATGAAGGCGGGTTACTTTCTCGCCACATCCACGCCAACACCAGTTGCTTTTGTTCTTTTGGATATGGGCCAGTTTCTGTGGTGTGAGATGATATCTCATTGTTGTTTTGATCTGCATCTCCATGATGATTAGTGACGTAGAGCAATTCCTCATGTGCCTTTTAGCCACTCGGATTTCTTCTTTGAGAAAGTTCCTGTTCATTTCGTTACCCCATTTTTGGATGGGGTTGGATGTTTTCTTCTTATTGAGTTCAACCAGTGCTTTGTATATCCTTGATATCACCCCTTTGTCAAATGGGTATTGGGCGAATATCATTTTCCATTCTGTAGACTGTCTTTGTATTTTGGTCACTGTTTCTTTTGAGGTGCAGAAGCTTCTTAGTTTAAGATGGTCCCATTTATCTA